AGACTCGCTTGAGCCCAGGAGTTGGAGGTTGCTGTGAGCTGTAATGCCACGGCCCTCTACCCAGGGGGACAGCTTGAGGCTCTGTCTCAAAAAAGAAAAAAAAAAGAAAAGAAAATTGCCATGACTATTCATGACTTTTCACTCCTACTTACTCATATTGCTAACGACCCCCTATATATCTCAGTGTGCCTATGGAGGCATATTTTTTGAGTCAATTCTTAGCTATGTAACTATTGACTATATGCATTTGCCAAATTTTCTCCCGCCAAAAGCTTAATCTTTCTTTCTTTCTTTTTTTTTTTTTTTTTTTTTTTTGAGACAGGAGCCTCAAGCTGTCCCCCACCCCCCACCCCCCTGGGTAGAGTACCGTGGCATTCAGCTCACAGCAACCTCCAACTCCCGGGCTCAAGCGAGTCTCCTGCCTCCGCCTCCCAAGTAGCTGGGACTACAGGCGCCCGCCACAACGCCTGGCTATTTTTTGGTTGCAGCCATGATTGTTGTTTGGCGGGCCCAGGCTGGATTCGAACCTACCACCTTGGGTGTACATGGCTGGTGCCTTAGCCACTTGAGCCACAGGCGCCGAGCCAAGCTTAATCTTTCTAATCTTCAGTTCTCTGGTAAATTAAAGGTTATAATAATAAACCCCACTTCTGGCAGGGCACAGGGACTCACACCTTTAATCCCAGCACTCTGGGAAGCCAAGGCAGGAGGATTCTTTGAGCCAGGAGACAGGAGTTCCAGACCAGCCTAATCAAGAGGAAGAGAGAACCTGTCTCTACTAAAAATGGAAAAAATTAGCTGGGCGTTGTAGTGGGTGCCTGTAGATGCCGGAAGATGACTAATTAAAGAATGGGCCTGGCGGCACATGCTTGTAGTCTCAGGAGGCTGAGGGAGGAGGATGGCTTAAACCCAGGATGCCATAGCACTGTAGTCTGGGCAATAAAGTAAGGTTCTGTCTCAAAAAAATATAATAAACCCCAGTTCACCGTGTTTGAGATCATCAAATAAAATACTGGATTCGAATTGGGCATGAACTGGATTTGAATTGGGCATGAACTACTGTACACGTGGTAGTTATGAGTTAATTTTATTGGCTAGGAAGTAGCCCCCTTTTTGGAGGGCCTTTATGGCCAAAGTTTCCTGGGGTCTTGCCTTTTTTATTTTCCTGTGGCTTCCTTGCTCAGTCTGATTTTGGAGATAAAAGATTTCCTCCCTTTGTTTACATGGTTGATTTTACTGGGTACGACAGCCCCTAAGGTTGTTTTTCTGGAATGAGGTGGGGGTGGGGACTCAGATTTAGAGTATAGGTTTAGGGCCTTCTCTTGATGGTGCTGGATGTCTTCTCATTCTTTAATTAGTCATCTTCTGGCAGACAAAGAAGTGGAAATTTTTTAAGTGGTTGCCAAATTGTGATTCTAGGCTGCATGTGAAGCATTGAGAAGCAAAGCTGGCTGGCTTTGTTTTCAGGAATTGGAGCCTTGCAGAACAAAGCCGCCCCAACAGGGGGGTGTTCCCAGGCCTTCTGAGAGGAAGTATTGACCACCTCTCTAGCAGTGACTTTAGTCTGTCTTGGTGTACTGCATGGAAGCTGATCTCCTAGGACACCACGTCCAATAGTACTTTCACTGCAAATGGAAATGGTCTACGATATGTACCGACCAGTACAGTAGTCCCTATACTGCTGTTGAGCACTTGAAACAGCTAGTGTGACTGAGGAATGGAGTTTTAAATTCTTTTTCTCTTCTTTCTTTCTTTTTTCTTTTAAGAAACCATTTCACTTCCTTACCCTGGGTAGAGTGTGGTGGCATCATCTTAGCTCACAGCAACCTCAAAACTCTTCAGCTCCAGTGATCCTCTTGCCTCAGCCTCCAGAGTAGCTGGGACTACAGGCACCCAGCACAATGCCAAGCTAGTTTTTCTAGGGGTCTCGCTCTTGCTCAGGCTGGTCTCAAACTCCTGATCTCAAGTGATCCACCTGCCTCGGCCTCCCAGAGTGTTGGGATTATAGGCATGAGCCACCTCACCCAGCCTAATTCTATTTGATTTTAGTGATTTTATTTTTTTTCTGAAGAGAGTCTCACTTTGTCACACTTGGTAGAGTGCTGTGGTGTCATAACTCGCAGCAACCTCAAACTCTTGTGCTTACACGATTCTCTTTTTTTTTTT